TGTATTAAATGCCCCAAAAAGTTTGAATCTAAATGTCACCCGAAATCTTATAGAATCGGCAAGTTTTTCATTTTCAGTCCCAATGCCTTATCTTTTCTAAACATTTCTTATAAATCATACTTTCAATCCATTTTACACATATTTATCAGTATGTTTCAAGTGTCCCTGCAAACTATTAAGCTGACTAATTGTAGGAATATTACTCAAACAAACAATATTCTTAGTATCAATATATCAATGTTCAAATAATCTTATTTGAATATGAAATAAAGCTTCCATTTGGTATTCTTAAGGAGCTTTGAGAATCTAGAGGGTTTTATGCGAACTTTATATTATTTAAAGAAGCTCAGTTAAAGTATTAACTTCCAGATTCCAACTAAGTTCTGGAGCTTTTAAGGCAGTGCGCGTACAATAATTTCCATTTTATATTAAAACTGGGAACCATTTTATCCATTTTGTTTAACTCTTTAATATTTCCATTTATCTCAGATGAAATGTGTTTTGAATAAATGTCGTCACTCATAACATATTTACTGAAATTTAGGCGAATCGCCTTTCATCCTGATAAACGCATATCCTATAGAGGATGTGAGTACCTGGAAAGATTTGAGCTCAAAGTTTGTTCTGCAGACTTTCAGAGATGCCATTGTGGGAAACGTTGTCGATACCACATTTATACAGGTAATTTTAAAATAATGGATGCTGAGTCGCATACTAAGCTGTGGTGCGCTTCTAGGATATGTACAAGGCTTGTGATATAGTAATGAGAAAGTTGCTGGTTTTTGACTATGATCAAGATGGACTAATCGAAAATTCTGGAAAACCGGACCAAACATATGATACTTGGGTTATGAAAGGTGCCAGGTAAATATTATCCCATGGCTAACTGTTACAGAAAATAATGGAAATAAATTAATAAAGAGGCTTCTAAGCCATAAAAATATCACATAATATTTATAAATAAATAGTCAATGAATGCATGCGCTTTCTTAAAATCGTATACGTGATAAAAAAATTATTTTTTTGAAAAACCATCAAACGGATCAATTTTCAGTTTGGACATCGGCTTTTTTCATCCGTAAAATCAACACTTATCGAAACATTTACGATCGGACATATCAATAACTAAAACTGTTGAAATATTACACTAAAAAATATTAAACTGAGCCTTATATCCTCCTTAAAAATATGATTATACATAATTTACTTGAGATGAAATATCAAGAAGAGTGTAAAAAATCAACACATTTTGATTTTTTCTAGTTCTTATTGCGGAGGTCTTTGGTTAGCTGCAGTTTACGCGATGACGGAAATGGCAGTTACTGTAGGCAACACAGACGATAAGGATTTTTATCAAGATATTCTAGACAGAGGCATCAAAGCATTCCAGAAAAAGTTATGGAATGGTCAATACTATAACTTTGACTGTTCAACCGATCAATGTAAGAGCATCATGGCTGACCAACTCAACGCGCAATGGTATTTAGGATGCATTGGCAAAGGACACGATTATCCGGTGAGATAAAACGTGTACTTTTACTCTGTTTATTTAATTATCCAGATTTTTTTTAAAGAAACAGAAACCGTGTAACATTACGTACTACGTAGTATTGCTTTTAACCATGCGAAAGTAAGCAATTTGACTATTGTATTTCAGCTGTTTCCAAAAAAGAACATTGATAGTGCTCTAAGGACTATTTACAAAAATAATGTGCTTAGTTTCTGCGATGGCAACATGGGTGCAGTAAATGGATTTCTCAATGGACAGGCAGACAAAATGACTATTCAGAGCCAAGAAGTGTGGACTGGTGTTACGTACGCTCTTGCTGCTACAATGATTCAGGAGGTAAGATTACATTTAGTGGAAAAACAATTTAGGCAAATCAAAAGGGGAAAGCTCGAATTGCGAGCGGAGAATAATTCCGGAGATGCTCGGAATGAGAATTGCGGCCCTGTTTCGGTATATTGGATAAGTTGGTGGATGCGTATAAACGTTAATCGCGCACGAGGATGCCACGTACTCTTTGGAGTGGTACCACCCTGAAAAAGTGTGTGTTTGTGTATTGTTTCTTCTTTTCCAACTAAAAGAAAACGAACAAATTAAACAAGAAAGGTTGCTCTTGTTGAGATGCTCCGTAAATATTGAAAAAAAACGCGGGCCAATTTAATTGCAGATTGTCGTTCTCCGTTTCGCAAGTTACTAAGGTGAGGCGATTGCCCGTTGGTAAACACGAGGTTTTCAAAAATTTGTCAAGGAAAAACCAAAAATTCCTGAATCCGGCCCATAACAACACTCGAAAGCTGTTACTTTAAGTGACGCAAAACTCACTTTAATAGGAAATCGACCTTTAACTTCCCTAGCCAAGCTTTAACCCACAAACACTAAAAAATCCCGTTCTATTTGCACACTCGCTCGCATCGCTTGGCCACTTTCAGCATGGCATCGCCCAGCTCGGTCCTCGGTGGTCGTCAAAACAAAAAATTATCGGAAGGAAAAATAAAAAATATCGATAAATCCACGAGAGCACGTTATAATACAGCCTTTACCAGGGTTCTAAGATTTTATGGTTATGCCATTTTTTCTCAATAGAAATCGCATTTTGTCTGGGTTTCTGTTCAATACTACAAATAAAAAAGTTTGTTTAAAATAACCACTAAAACTCCTTATCAGTCTTTTACTTTTTAAATTGTCATTAAAGGTATCAACACAGTTTTAAATTAAAATAAATTTTAATCAATGCATTAAGCAAAAACGGATTTACTATCGTAAAATAAAATCACAAATTAGCATAGCATTTTCGCTCGAAGTATTACATGAATTATTTACACTTTAATATACTATTAAATAAAATATGACAGCAAAGGAAACCTTTTTGTCTAAAGTTGATGGACCATTAAAAAGTTTCCTCTTCTGAACTATTCAAAAAACGTATATCATAAATACGTTGATATAAAAATTTATTTTCACGAGTTTAATTTTGTCCATTCTATGTATGTATAAATACGTTTTGGATTGTAGGGATTGATTAATGAAGGATTTAAAACAGCCGGAGGAATGTTTAAGTCGATGACCGAGAAGTTCGGAATGATTTTCAACACTCCTGAGGCACTCTATGAAAAATCTTGTTATAGAGCGATGGGCTATATGAGACCGCTCAGCATTTGGTCTATGCAAATAGCTTGGGAGCAAAAAAATAACAAACCATCCAATTAATGCATTATTGCAAGTAGTTGCACCATTGTTTACTATTATTTCCCAATCAATATAGATATTTCAATGTTTCATACATATGTAAAGATATTATCAATGTATTAATTATTTATATTTGCTTTACTATATTTTATGCAATTTAATATGAATGCAAGTACTCAACGTATGTTGTACACTTAACAGTCAACACTTAAGTATGGAATTAATTTTTTTAACATATTTCATATAAGGGTAATATGCCGTGCACAATAAAGATAGCAAAGTATTAATGTATCTTTGAACATAATTTTCCTAAATAAAATCCCTATTCCCAAATATGTATTAAATACAAATAACAGCGATTATCATAAATAGTATTTTCGGTAAAAGGGTAAAATCAGAACTTGATTTATGTTGATTGATTATTTATTACAATTCTTTAACGGAATCCCAATAAATCAGCTAATCAAATTTCCCATCTACCTGATCGAGTTTAATCGTTTTTAACATTATAATAAAACAACACCATATCAATATATTCAGATTTAGTACTGGTTTCTGCACTTTCTCTTTTTCTCTGGTTAATATGGAAATCTATCCTTTAACTCTTGGGGAATTTTGTCAATCAGTTCCTGATGATTTACATACCTGGATGTTGCAAAAGAGCCTTGGTTATTTGGATACGAAGCATCTCTAAAAATGAGTTAGCTTTGCAATATTAAGCTCCTTCTTCGGATTGTATCTTACTTTGAATAATCGTACGCTTTGCCATGGATATCAGTAAGAATGCCACCCAGAGCTCGTAAGACGCCTTCAGGGGCACACGTATCCCACTTTTTACAACCTTTACTAGCGTGCACGTAGGCATGTGCATGGCCTTCCAACAACATTATCGTCTAAATATAATAATTATGACTTCGCAGTTGACAGTCACATTTTAAAAACAGTAGTTTTACCTTACGTCCAGCTCCTCCCATCTTAATAACTTCATCCGGTTTCAAAGCCTCTACCGCTTTAACTACGGTATCATCTGAATGAGACCTTGTAGTGGTGATGATAAATTTATCTACTGGTGGGCTGTTGGGCACAAAACCACCCACCCCCAGGCCTACTAACCCCCAAAGAGTCCTTCCTGGAACCATACATTTTCTATAGTTTTTAAAAGTGGTGCAACCTGGTGGTGTTATCTACAACCTTTGCAATCTTTCTCCTCTTTAAAATTATAATATGGTTGATGTATTACGCCTCCGACTGCCTTTCCATTGACTGCTAAACCAATCAGAACAGTCACACTGTCTAAGAAGCCCTAAATAGAGACAGTCAGTGGCGGCAGTCTTGGACCAGAGAGAATTGTTTAAGACATGCCTGTGTATATTCTAAAGTGCCATCCAGTGGATCCACCCAAACAACTATATCTTCTGGCTTGAGAGTCGCAAACTCCGATGGGCACGTGCTTGCCAACACTCCATCATCCAAATCAGTTACAATCCAATCAGCTGAAATCTAAGCAAATAATTGGATTGGTCGTTTTCGGTGCCGTAAGACAAACGGCGACATACTTCCTCGCTTTCATTATGTGGACCTTCTTCTCCTATAATTGTAACACCTGGAAACAGCTTGGACAGTGTACCGACGATGCATTTTTGAGCAGATCTATCGGCTTCTGTTTGTAAATCATTTTTATAGGAACCCTTAAAATATAAACGAATGCATGATGGTCAAGAAAGCAATAGTTTGGTTAAAAATTTACTTTTAAATTCCATTTTTTATATAAATACAATTGTTTGGCTTTTCTGAACTTTCAGTTAATTAAATGCACTTTGATGATATATTTATTCTCCGCATATACAGAATAATTCAATTTCTAATCGGGAAAATAAATCGGTTAGAAAACTCCTAAAAATAAGTTTAAAAGTTGATATAAACATACATACACAAAGGCTTGGTTTCCGATATACAAGGTGTTGAACGTAGGTTACGCTGTGTTACCTTTCAATTTGAAATAAGGGTGATTTTTTAAGAGTTCACACGTTTTTGACCCCAAAAGTGTGCCCCTAAAGTCTAACAATATATTTTAAACTTAACACTTAAATTTTAAGGACATTGAGGAAGTTTTAAATTAAATATGAAGAAAGTGTCTGACCAGTATTACCTTGTCTATAATGCCCAGTTCGCCGTTAGTTTTCACATCTCTAATGATCTGGCCAGCCCTTGAGACTACCATGGCAGATGAGGCTAAAATCCTCAAAATTAACGGTGAATTTTGAGCCATGTTTTCTGTTAAAATATTTTCGATCTATAGGAGTTTCTTGAGCAGGACTATTGATGCCTAGAAGCAAAGGAAACCTAAATTAAGAAGCAACTAAGCTACGCAAAGACAGTGGACTTTGAAACAGTTATAAATGGTGAAAACTTAGACGTGATAAATATTTGATTATATCTTTAATATGGATCAGTGAATAAGAAGTTCAAGGCCTTGTTTTACCTTTTTTCTTTGCAAACCTTGGTTTAAGTCAGCCTCATTCAAAGGACTGTAAAATATGACCAGTCAAATGAAATTCGGCAACTACACATTATCTGATTAAACACAGAAAGTGTTGTTTAATAAAATAACTTTGTGAACATTTGTGGTGTAATTTAATTGTTTTTTTTTGGAATTTGTGATCTCCTACTAACCTTAGTGTTCTAACCTAAACTTTTGTGACAACAAAACAAAAACATTCAACTTTTTGTGATTCTGTTTTCAGTGTTGCCAGTGATGGGATGAAAAAAATATTTTCTAGATTACTGAGTTTTGACAAAACAATTTGTACAGATTACGGTTCTCGATTTTTTCCAATGTGCTGTAATAGTTTGGCAAATTTCCATTTTGGTACTGCATGAATAGCTGCTTTTCAATAATGATAAATGTGGAAAAGAAGGAGAGTAATTGGTAGTACTTAGCATTAAGTTAGGAACGATTTAAATTGAGGATTGAGGAGGAGGAATTGAACCATTCCTCCTTTCTCGTGAGTCATCTGCCAAAGTGTCATCACCGTTTTCGATTTGACAGTTCCGAAACCCAACCTAAACATGGCGTCTGACGGGGACGAAGTTATTTCGGATCAAGAAAAAGTACGAATAGTTTCCAACTTTATTCTTCATTCACCCCCTGGAGAGTTCAATGAGGTCTTCAATGACGTGCGAAAGTTGCTGGACAACGACGACCTTCTCAAAGAAGGCGCCAGCGGAGCGTTCGCCCAATACAACAAGGACCAATTGACTCCGGTGCGAATAGAAAATTCTGATAATTTGGTGTTGATTACTGAATACAACGATTTAGGCAATAATAGGTAAATGTTCTTGATCATTATGTTGCTGAAACAAACCATACTTTGTTTCCTGTTCATTTCCTCTTTGCACGTACGCTATCAGTTTATGTGGGTACCATATATTGGTGATTCATTTTATTGTTTCCTCCTATCAGTTTCAATAATTAATGAGAGAAAAACATTGCATTCTGATGTTATGATCCCAATGGTGATAAATATTTCAGGTTTTTCGACCCTCGTTCCAAACAAAGCTTTCGTTATGACCACTTGCGGAAAGAAGCATCCGACTACCAGCCCTATAGCCCTGATTCAACAGCGGAGCCCTGGCGCTCAGCTCTTGACGCAGAGTTTACTCAGTATACAAAAAACCACTACAAAGATGGTGTGAGCACTGTTATAGGGCGCAATAATGGTGGAGTAGTCACCCTAACAGCCTGCATAGAGGATCATCAGTTTCAACCTAAAAACTTTTGGAATGGTAAGGCATTTTCATTTGCCACTCCCCAATTAATGAATGTCTTGGTTTTTGGTCTGAGCCAACAACATGTTCTGCACAATGAACTTCCTGAATTGCAAAGCTTTAAACGTCTAAGACACATAAATAGAATCTATTATTTTTAGAAAATACATTAAATGGACGCGTTATCATTTAATGTGCTCAGTTCTATAGAACTGATATAGGCTTTGATAGTGTAATTTTTATATCGTTCGAGATTAAGCATTCCGGATAATAGTAATACTGTATTTAAAACACACAATTCCAATTCTCATCTGTATGGTTGTCTCTCCCATCTAACAAGCAATTTAAGTGTTTAGTGTGTCAGTTATTTTATTTTATTTATTACTTATTTTAAGTTGTACTTTACAGTATTCTGTAATTCCCGAACCTTAACCGATTTATCTAAATTAGTTCAAGACTTCAGTAGAAACTGTACTCGAATGAGTGAGCTGAAAAGCGCAACTTGTTCTGCGTCTACAGGGTGTTCGGAAATGCGTGTGCAATTCTTTAACTTCATTTTGTGTCGCTTTTTCGTTGTTTTCTACTAGAACTTTTGGTCTTTAGATCTAGAAATTGCCTGAGTTTTTGTATCTCATATCAATTTTCTGAGCTAAAGAATTCCCGCCCTTTAATAAGTTATGTAAAATATGCATATAAATACTCGACTTTGAGCTATCAATGAACAATCCCATTCAGATGCGTTAATTTTCATTTTTGGTGGTAGAATAATTATTTGAAGTTTCTTTGCATTGAAATGCAAATAGCACCATGTTATTTCAGAGACCTTTTCATCTACTTTTTAAAATGATTATCTGTTGTGCTATGGAAACGTGAAAATCTCAAATTTAACAATGTTTTTTGCCTTTCTATTTGCTATTCTTTCGTCCAAAAAACTGATATACGAATTTGTTAACTTACATTAATTAGATAGACTATGAAGGCTTTTACGGCCGGTTAAAGTATCGGTTGAAAAGTTTTCTGGGCTTATAAGTGTAGACCATTGGCATTCTTTCTGCCTAAATTACCTTCCGTGCTTTGAGTGTTACCTCATCGCTTTCGATAATGTTCATAATGTCCAATGGTCCACGATTTATAAGCCCGGAAATCTGTTCAACCTATAAATTAACTTAAGCCCAAGATTTACGCTTTTAAAAATAAATTTCCATTACTTTAGTTATTATTAGTTAATCAACGTTTTCATACAGGTAGGTGGCGCAGCCAATGGTACATAACTCTCAACGGCACCTCCTCTGCCGAATTAAGAGGTGTTCTTAAAGTGCAAGTTCACTACTATGAAGAAGGCAACGTGCAACTGGTCAGCATCAAAGAAACGAAAGACTCAGTTAACGTTACTTTCGAGGCACAAACGGCCAAAGATATTGTCCAGGCCATTGAAGCAGCGGAGAATTTGTATCAGACCGCAATTTCAAATAATTATCACACTATGTCTGATACAACTTTCAAGGCGTTAAGACGGTAAGTTGATCGTTTCCTGTTGGATTTTACCAAATAAAATATGTATATAATACCCTCCATATCTACTAGTTATTTGCTATATTTAAATGTATATTTTGTTTCTATAATAGATTATTGCCAGTCACACGCACAAAAATGGACTGGAACAAAATCGTGTCTTACAGCATCGGAAAGGAGCTGAAGACTCAATGATCAACTGCCGGAAATTAAGCAGAATAAAAGTTTAGATTATTTAATATGACAATTCGGGATTATACAGTGTGTCCATAATGATAGTCTAAGAAAATCAATTTCCAATTAGTGAAAATAAAAAATTAAATTTTGTTCAAAAACCATCAATAATTTGGTTGCGCAATTTGAAAACGGATCTGCTTTACTTTAGTCGCATACACGGAACACTGTATAATACTCTCTAATACCAGAAGTTAGAGTATCGGAAGTAATACCACCACTACTACTACTACTACTACTACTACTGCTGATGCAAGGCTAAAAAATAAAAATATTGATTTGCTATCAAGTTGAATTTTTAGACTAGAAAAAATGGTGCGCTTATGTATATAATTTCTAAATAATTGTCCTAAAACACTTCTAAAATACGCAAGGTTGTAACTGTTTGATGCCGTTTTTTCGCAAAATAGTTCCAGTTTATATAAATAGTTCAAACATGAGACATGATACTAAGTGTATATGAGACTAGTGTTCAATGGTATGTATATGAGATGTGATGATAAAAATATTGCTTTTTTATTTTAATGCAATTTTGGTCAGATATGTGAGTCGGCTGCCCGTGCGAAAAACAAAAAAAAACATTTAATTGAACCAGATAAACAACTAACAAAATTATTTTCAGATAACATTTAATAAATATCCCAATTAATTTAACAATTATTAACCTAATAAGAATCGTGTAGTTTTAAAGCTCGCAAACTTAGTAGTTAAAGCAAATGATTCCATACACAAGTGTCTGAATTTTTCAACTTTCTGTGTTTGGCATTTACCATTTAAAAAATTTGCGCAAGCTCTCATTATTCATGAAATGTTTGCTGATTTCCTTCATCAACGCTCTTTAACTTTAAGAAAAAAATATATTTTTATCCCTAACATTTCTAAATAATATGACTATTAATTATTTCCTTTATTTACTTTTCATATTTTTTTATTTTATATGAATAATTATTGAAATAATCAATGAAAATGCAAGTATTATCCTTAGTTCTTATTTGTTACTTTTAAATGTTGTAAATGGAGGGCTCCGATTTAGTTTTCATTCTTCACTTGAAATTGGGCCCTGAGATATGGGAATTTTTCAACTCAAGTGGATGTCATTTAGGGATTATTGACGCCCTCTTTAAACCCCAGAAAGCTGCCCTTTGAAATATATTTAAAATAATTTATATTCTTGTTAGAATCAACGTTGTATGGGTTATTTTTAAATAAAAATATTAAGTAACAGTTATTTTCATTCAAAACATTAACAATAACATTTGGGGGAGAAAAACCAGGCGATTTACATACATAGTATATTTAATAATAAGCATATGAACAATGGTTAAGCTACAAGTAAAATTCGTAATAAATACTAGAATTAAAACATGTTCATCTACACTGGTCCTCCATTGTTAATAACAGCGCATTCTTCTTCACTAAGTGGGGCTCGCCTCCAGCGGACTGGGATTTGAAAATCCCAAATTGGCTCCTGGCTACTTGAAGACGTTGATTTGGAAGCTCCTTGTCTAATAGTCTAGTTACAGATATTCAATTTGCTGATGTTTTTTTTAGGAATTGTAATCAAATTATTCAAAATTATCTTAGAACACTGGAATGCAGTTTTAATCTGTGCGGACTCTCTCTAGAGTCCTACGTGCGTCTCTACGCGGAGATAATTTACGTGTACTTCATCGCTCATTGATAAGTTATTTGAGGTCTCGTTTTTGTTAGAGCTTATAAGGGCTTTAATTTAGTTGTTAGTTGCATCGCTTCAAAATCAACAGATCGACTGAACAACGCAAATTAAAATGCATTAAATTCACAATAAAATTTTAATAGTCTCCATAAGTATTCAATAAACCGATTCCTTATTCAACGAGCTTTACCATCGTAGTGATTCGGTCAAAATACCGATTGTTAAAACCACTGGAGATTGCTTTATTACTCATTAAGTTAAGTGTTAAATTAGTGCAATTATCTAGAAACGTCTCATCATACTTAAGTAATTAGAAAAACACATTATTTCTCCTCGTTTGCCGCTCTAATTTGCTTTCAACCTCAGCCAAAATTATATGCATTTTCGCTAGTTAAACTAATTATTTCTTATGTTTGAAGACCAAACACGAAAAATGGGATTTGTCATTTTATTAGGCAACAGCGCTATTTGGCAAATAGTTTCGTGCAATAAAATACCCAGAACTCCAGCGATCTCTATTGTTAAAATGATGTACAGAGTAGAGAAATGCGTAATAAAAAAAATGTCTCAAAATCATTTTTGAGACAAAGCGCGTTGTTAGCTCGTGATGTTCGTTTTAGAACGTTCATGTTTCTGCAGCGCAGACCTAAATTTATCAATGATCAAGTGGTTATTTCGAACTTAGACGATACTAGATGATTTACGCCTTTTCAACTTTGATTAGATCCGAAAAGTGAGTTATTATCAAATAATGGCGGTGTAAGTAAAACATGCCGTTTTACCAACACACAAGAAAGTTGAAAGAGAAATTAAAAACTGACGGCTCATAAGTATTCAGAAAACTTTCCAGACCCGACATTCGTTGAGAAAAATGTACATAAATTATATAAAAAAATATACAAAAATTGTCTTACTTGGGAACCTGCTGGGGTTTGCTGGTTCCTATTAGGCCCATATCGGAACTTAATCAATCGGTGACCCAGTCGAGCACTTTGGGAGATTCCCCTTGTGCAGATGGTCTGCGACATACTACGATTTATCCAAAATACTGGATATTTTAGAAATCCAGGAAAACTCTTGTTTTGAAAGTTATGTCACCGGCTCAAATATCAAATGCCAATAAACAGCTGATTGCTTAGACTAGTAAAAAAACGAGCTATATCTCTGTCTAATTGCCAGAAAACAAAAGAGAAACAATGAATTGATCAATGATGCAAAGGCTACTGATACTAGCGGGAATATTTCAATGCAGCCAACATAAGATTTCCAAATAAAAAAAATTGGATATTTGTAATTTTAGCTAAACGCATAAAATTGAGATATCGATTTACTTGATAAAAAAGTTTCAGCCGGTGTTCCCGAAAACACAATATGAGTTATTCCCGATTAGGAAACTGTATCAGTGTGCATGTTTTTTTGTTTAGTCGGGCGCGCTCTTATCTATTCTTAAACAAAACTTCAAATAATATGAGTTTTTGGTTGCATTCAAAGTTTCTACCTAATGTGTGCAAAGTTATCACATCTTGATTTTTATTACATGCAGCATAGTTGTTTTGTGGTACGAAAAACAAATACAGTTTAAATTAGCCGCTTTTGTAGATTCCGGAACCGGAAATTGGCTGTAAACGGAGTGCGCCAGGCAAATGCGCTCTGTCAACATTCTTTGGCATTTAACGTGTTGTAGAGTTACCGGTTCCTGCCAGTGCTGAGTAATTTTCACGTTTTCTCTACATTTTCTCCATTTACTTGAAGCGAATGTGGCACATTTGTGTAAATTGGTTTCGAGCAGTTTTTGGTGCGAATATACGGACTGATTTGACCACTTGAAAGTGTGCAAATAGGTAAGCAAACGTGTGGCCTTTGTAATCGCTGTTTTCCCCTTAGTAAAATGGAATCTTGTAAACACGTGGAATAAAATTCTTGGTCGAATATGCCGTTAAGGCTGCCAAAAAGGTGCGGATCATGAACGGAATTGGCTTAATAACCACGCCGAGATCATTTTGAACATATTTTTAGACGAATTTGTTAAGTTACCTTCGGGTTGTTCGGGCACCTCATTGCAAGAAATTCTAATCGAATTATATCGACACAAGCGATGAAAAATATCAGGCCAAAATTCAATTTTGTAAAACCAGTAGCGGCAACAACCATGGCAATCAATCAAAGGTTTTCCAGAGAAGAAAACAGCAATCGGGCTCAAAAAAATGCTTATCAATGAGATGACTCATTTTCTGAGAATTGTGTTTCAGGCCACTTCGGAAGCAAGTTTGAACTTGCCCGGAGCATGATCAGGTTACTTAGCTAAAAAATTCAGCAAGTACTAAAGTGAATGTGCTCTGTTTAAGCACTTATGTAACATTTTCTCTTTTTTATTACTTGCTCCAAATTTCGAGGCAAGTTTTTGCGAAATTCAAATTTTCCAGATGGTCATTACACTCGTGTATGCTGCTCTATCCTCATTAAAAGAAAATGAAGTCAGCTTCGGCTTATAAGAGAGTGAATTTAAATGCTTTCTTATGCCGGTAGAATAATCCAAATATACAGGGGCATCCCAATTGGCTTAACAGTATAACGGGGCCCCCGACCCATGAGCTTTAGGACAGTTGAAGTTCATTTTTATGTTTGAATATTTGGAAATATTATTTAATTTTTTCTGTATTTTGTCTTGTATTTGGAGAATTTTAGGTCATTTTTATCGAACTTGGAATCTTTGATTAAATTTTAATATATTTTTCATAAACTATAGGTAGGTAGGTATACATATAGTCAACTGTATTATCTCTTTCCAGTTTTCAACTGCGCCTGGAGTTTAAAAGCGGCAATGGTATAGAACCAGCAACTGATGTTGCACATCTTAGGTTTTACAATTAAAAAATTGCAAAAATTCATCAATTTTGGTTTTTTGATGGACAAAATATTATTCAGCCCACCATCAAAGAATCGACCGGCATTTTTATATTGAGCGAGAAAATCCTTCAACTTTAATTAAACCATTTAATTATTTTCCCACATCCAGAAAACTATATAGCACATTTTTTCGGAATCTTAAGGTTTCTCTTCATCTATTAAAACTTAACGCATCTAACTTATTGCTAAAAATGACTACTGATCATTCATGTTTTTCCAAAATGTTTATACAAAAGGCGGAAAACTAAGCTTCAAAATTAATTTTCCTATTCAATTTCCTTTTATACATGTTTTTCTTTTTCAATTGACCTCAAATTGGACACATCCTACTACTGATCTACTTTCACTTTACTTGTTAAAGCGGGAGCAATGAAAGACATTGTAAGCTAGTGGAATTTGAATAATATTTAAAGTCAGAAACAACACTTCCATGAATCTTCTGCAATGTCACTGTTTTTTTTTAAATTTTCTTGATTGTTACGTGAACTAGCACTTCTATGTACATTATAAACACGTTTCGTTTTTGAGTTACAGGATATGAAAATTCGTGTTCTTTAAACAATTCAATTGATTATAATCGCGGAAACCGGCCAGAATATTTTATGGCAAATTTGCAGATTTTGAGAGTTAACATTAGTTTTGTGATACGAAATTTGCTAATACTTTTGCCAGTGGCGTGGGTACCGGCACGTCTCTGGATTTGAATGATACAATGAACTTCTCTGACGTTGCTACGAAAACGTACTTTAAAAGTTTCTGTTCCGTTGTGGAAGAGAAAAGTTATGCATTTCGTACGGCTCACTGTTTTGGTGAAAAAAAGTTGATCTACTCTTTTGGTTTAAATTAATAACTTCTGATTGATTATATTAGATTACTGCAACGGTACATTGGAAAGTCGTCTATCTGTTCCAAAGAATTTGTTAGATTTGCCTAGAAAATTACTAAAACATCCATAATCAAGTTAGCGATCGCGGAAACCTAAAACTCTTTTTGGTTTGTTTCAGGTTGAGAGCAAAATATTTTGTTGAAAAGTAGACAAGTATTTGGACCCAATTTCCCCTTATTACAAAAGTACCAGTTATTGTGATACTTATCAAACATGTCTTCGTCAAGCATCTGTTACAAGTGTAACCAACCCGGTCACTTTGCTCGTGAGTGTTCTACTCCTGGAGGAAGAGACTCCGGCGGTAGAGGTGAGAAGACAATTTGACTAGTGTTCTAGTACTAACATTAATTCCTGTTTAATTTATTGGACTAAAATTGACTGAATTTCTTAGGATTCTCTGGTAGCAGCAGCTACAGCAAAAACCGTGACAAATGTCACAAGTGCAACAAGGTCGGTCATTATGCAAGAGATTGCAAGGAAGAGCAGGCTCGTTGCTATCGTTGCTCGGGCGAAGGCCATTTCGCTAAGGATTGCCATCAGAGTCCTGATGTCCCGTCTTGTTACAACTGTAGAAAGCCAGGTAAGACAAAAAAAATGTTTAATCGTTGTACAAGATTTAGTAGTAAGCAAAAGTGGATGAATAAAAAATGCTTCTTGTGATTCCAGGACATATTGCCCGTAGCTGCCCGGAGGGCAATTTGAATGAACGTGTTAGCGACACTTGTCACAACTGCCAGAGACCTGGCCATATTTCCAGGAACTGTCCGGAAAACGCCAAGACCTGTTACTTGTGCCACAAGTCCGGCCATCTGAAGAGAGAGTGTCCGGAAAACCAAGATTACCGGAACTAGTAACAAAAGTAGTATTTTAACATACAGTTTTTCAAGTAGATCAGTCAAGCTTCTGAATTGTGTTACACTTTTAATAGACGGTTTTTAAGTTGATTGAACATGAAATTTTAATGGTGTGCAAATAAATGATAAGTAAATTCTCATTTGGACACTTCTTAATTAGTTAGAACGACATTTTTTTTACATTTTAGGATAATTCAGAAGCTTGAATAGATTTTAACTAGCAGCTTTCCTGTTTAGTTTTACTTTCGATTTAATTTCAGTTGGGGTGGACATAAAACACCCTCGGTATTTGTAACCTTTAATGTTTAAAAATTCATTTACTACAGAAAGTATTGTTATTGTTGGTGTTCTTTTATTTGGTTTTTGAACATCCCTACTAAGTAATGTAGGACGAACTAAATCATCTCATTTTCTAATTAGACGGAGGAAGGCTGTAACATCATCCTCCTGATTATGAGATTCCAATTTATAAAGAGCACTAGCAAGTTGGAGGAATACACAAAATATACTTTTTGTTGTACTTTTATGAAGAATTTGATTCAACATTTTAAAGTTGTCACCTGGTTTTACTTTTTTGTTTTCATTTGCTGTTGACGTCGAGATAGAGGGTTAGTTATAGAAATCAATTTGACGCTTTAAAGATTTGAAGGTGCTCTACTATAATTTAAATTGTTGAATTAAATCATAATTTATTTGAGAAATAAAGGTTTCGATAACGAGTTTGAAGATCATATTAGTAAGGCTGCAAAGCAATGCACGTTTTTAAAGTATTTTCTTTTGGAAATACGGCTGTTATTTTTTGGTTTTCTGGATCTTATTCTCATTTAAGATCGCTGAATTGTAAGAATTGCGTTTCCTGTGGGAAAGTCGTTAGAATTGCCAAATATTCAGAGAAGGTATATTTAAGCGCTGCATTGTTAGTAATTTCTGCTAAAAACTAGTTGTTAAAAATTATTTTCTACATTTTAACATGTGTATGAAGAAAGACAAACCATGCTTTGGTCAAACTATCTTATGTTTTTGTTCCTACGATAAATTTGCCTGTTACTTTGACTAATCAATGAACATGCAAGGCCTTTCCAATCCCTGGTAGGTGTACATGTACTTAATTTTACAGGTCGTCCACATGTTGCTAAATTTTAAAGTTTGTAAATTTTTGAAGTTTAAATCAATTCCAATATTTAGAAACTTTTGCTTAGTCAACCTATACAGCGCACTTCGGCCTTGACTTCATTACATTGAAACTTATAGTGTATTTACTAAGTTGAAATGTCGACAGGATTGTATTTTTAATAAAGGTGGTGAAATGGATTTAGCGTTTCCTCTGCAAATCAGTTCAAAATGTCGGGTACATTTCATTGGCGGGTCGATCAAGTCCCAGTGAGAGTGAAATTGAGGACAAACTTAACCGCATAGCGGCTATGTTAAGTAACATTCCAGGCAGCTGCTGTGGATATCGTCTCCTGGAACGCCGATTCTTTCTACCCCAAAAGGCACGAACTAGTGAGTTACCTCCGAGAAAACGAGGTGGACATTGCGCTATTTCAGGAAACATCATTAAAACCAACTTCAACCCCAAACTTCTTTAAAAATTAACAAGTACAAAATTTATCGTAACGACCGCCCCAACGAACTAGGGGGCGGCACTGCAATACTAATCAAAAGCTCTCTCACACCCCATTTCCCTCAATTCAACACACCTCAATAATTAATTCTTAACATGGAAAACTCCCAAATCCCTATAATTTCGGCCTAAAAACCCCCTAAGTTGTCCACCTCCCCACTCGACTACACAAGCATTTTTCACAAAGACATCCCCACACTCCTCGCAGGAGATCTAAATTCCAAACACATTTCGTGGGCCTTCTGGTTTCTGGATCTTCTCGAAGTTTCTACTTCGAAACTGCGCACAAGACATGAACTTATTTATTTTTCCGCTCCCTCAGAACCGACTCACTACCACTACATAACTCCAGGCATTCTCGACATTGCCCTGATCTGATCAAAGACTTTTATCATCCAAAACTCCCGACTCCCTCAGTTTAGACCATAATCAACTATTAGTCACTATTAACATAAACGGACAATACACCACCAACAAAACTCTTACAAAAACCCATTCAGCCTTCCGCCAGAACTTAAAAACCTAATTAAAACTTGTAACAGATAAAAATGAAGGGGCAGAGCATTTACTGATGGTCACTAAGAACACGAGAAACCCCCGAACACGACCAAATCTCCAGCAAAATCCCAAAACTCCTTACCCTGATCAACGCCTCCTTTTTCCTCAGAAACTTTCCAACAGCATGGAAAACCGCCACCCTCATTTTAATACCTAAACCCTCTAAAAATAAAAGCTTTTCYAAAAATTGGCGATCCATCAGCCACCTCTCCTCGTTTTCCAAACTCGTCCTTGACCGCCTCCTTCCTCGAGAGCAGTTCGGTTTCGGTGAAACTGAAACGTTGTAACCCGTTGCAGAAAAATAACTGTTGAGCACACCTCTATGTACTACTAGTACTACCTGAAATCGATAAGACTAATAGTTTGCGAGATACGGCCCACTACTTCTTTTAGTGACTCACCCTGTACATAACATAGCCGGAAATTAATACCATCAAGCAAAAAGTTAAACAATGACTTTACTCTTCGTTTTTATTGAAACAAAAATCGAAAAATAATTTAACACTCGTGTGATTGATAAATCAAGTCATTTTAGAATACGAAAACTAAGCTCCGTTTAGATCAGGGGCCTGATCGTGACCTTCGTTGCTAGTTGTTGCTTCTGGGTTTTCTTCAAGAGGTTTAAATTTGTTCACGTCTGGAACAAAATAATTTATAGAAATAGCTGCACAGGGCAGCGTTTCAGCGCATTCGCGATTATTGATTAAGTTGTATTCTTCAACTTAAAACATATTGCAAGAACTGAAAACGAAATTACGATTAATAAAATTAATCAACATCTCTTTACCGTAAATATGGATATTTCATTGAAGTTTGCAAATGTTTTCTAGCATGATTCTTGGACGATCCACGATTCCACTGAAACTAGTTTATTTCAAGTGTACTTTAAGGGAAAATTAAAAAGAACGCAAAACTCCCACAGACTTAAAAAAGAGCATTATTTATTATTAGTAACCTTTTCAGGTTACTAATTTTTTTTTGTATATATTTTTTTAATAATAACAACTGAAAATCAAACATTTTATGAAGTTTTTGCTAAAGGTAATTTTACTATTGTCACCCTGTATGTTGTGTTACTTATTATGGGACACCTTATATATTAGAAATCTAACTATTACTGAAAACCTTACCATATTTTGATATATCTCCGCCAAGTAATCTTAACAGATGTACTGTACTGTGTTGAGTGGTATAACATCTTAAAGATGAGGTCCCTCTCCAGCCACTAATATGAATCTGCATATCGTTCTGGTCGTCATCAGATTTTTCGGTATATATTAATATACAGCTACCTGGACCTGCAAAAAATCGAAAATTGAAATTTCGATGTTTAAAGACAATATGTTTGGAAATTAACATCCAATATTATTTTTAGAATCCTGTGTCTTACCCAAATCTTTCACTTGCTGTTGGACATTTTCTGATAAAGATGCTATAGCCGGAGAATTTTGGGGAGTGTTATTCGTCAATAAAGTTATCAGATCGTCAATTGGTATGGATACTTTTCTGCAATTCCCGATGTACGGGTAGATACTTTCCAGTCCGTCATTGGCAACTCTACACCAATTGGAAAAATTTATCATTGATAATTAATGAAAGGTTCAAGACTTTGACGCAAAAGATACGTTTGTTTTTGTGTGCTGTATACTTTCGTGTCAGAAAATTTCCTAGGCATTATCACTTTCTGTTTTTTAAAGGCTTTGTTTTAAGAGTGATCATATATATTTTTTATATCAGACCAAATTTTCCATTTGATCTTTTGGATTGATTGGAAATTCGCTTAAAAAACTTTCATTGTTCTCAACTGATTGGAGTCAAGAATTTACAGTTCCACCAGCAAACCCATCCATATTTTTCTGTTTGCCGAGATTCTACACAGCTTTCTTGACCTCAAATTTGACTAAAACTGCAAAACTCAGTCTTATCAAGATGACAATCAATTCAATATTTTGCCATAAAAAATGACTTACTATATGCTGTATAGTATACAGGGTGATTCATCGTCGATAGCGCGTTAGATGTTTCAGGAGAACACAATGCACCATAGATCTGCAAATTTGTACAATGAAGTCATCGGTTATGGTCTGTCGGCCTAAAATGTTTTCAGCAATGCGTGGTTGCCGCTTATATCGAAAAGTGCATACAACTTTGATCTTTTCAATGAGATACCGTGTATATTAACGCTTAGATTGGATTTATAGATCTGATTATTCTTGCATAACGATTTTATATCTATTGTCGTGCAGGGACGCTTTCCGCGAAAAAGCGCGTGCGTCAGATGCTCAACCGATCGGCTGTGCAACGAAAATTGCCTCCAGCGAACGCAGGGAGACCGGCGCATCGTCAGAGATAGATTATGCACACCGGCATGAGCACTCAATAAAATACCGCGTGTCTCGTTTATATATTTCGATATAAGCGGCAACTTCGCATTGCTGTAAATGTTTTACGACAAGCCGATAGAGGCTATCCGATAACTTCGATGTACAAATTTGCGATCTCGTTAAATGTTTAATACGCCATCGACCGTGAAGCACACTGCATAAAGCCTATAAAACCTAAGCGATAAATAAATAGGCAAGAGTAAAAGAACCAATCACAATAAATAGTTGCCTGATCACATACTGATACGCAAGGATCTTTTCCAGTTATTGCAACTATAAAATACCCATTTGTACTATACCTGAATGCACATTTCATGTTTTTGTTATCACATCGAACAAAAGCCTTGACGCCAGTATTGATGAATTTAATAGTCGACTGATTAGTTATGACCAAGTCGCGAATTCCTGCAGATGTTAGGTAGATGTTTTTCTTTTTGCCTTCGTGGCACCTTGTCAATAGACATTGTTCATCAAACTTTTCAGAAATGTCATAAAATGACTTAATATCGGACCAAACTTCTTCGCCCTCTTTGAAAAACACATACGGGTCTTCCCTATAGACATCCTTACGTCGTCGCTTCCTTTGATTTTGAGGTAATCTGAAATAAAAAAAAAGTGGAATTTTTACAATGTATACAGGGTCCCCATTGAACTTCCGACAATATTTCGCCTGATGACATCCGCGACGTCAAAAAAATTAGAAAATCGGATTAATGAAAATTCGTTCAATATACGACCCCTAACAACCTAACAACCATATTGTCGGACGACGAGCAAAACTCTAAGTGAATAATAATAATGTTTAATTTAAACATATTTTTTTCTTTGCAGTTCAAAAATCGGGTCTCATCTAAGTCTGGAGGTCAGATACAGTAAGATGATGTTAACGCATAACTTTTTCATTTCTCAACAACTACAAGCACTAATGTAAAAAATTTCATGACAAATAAATATCCGGCCGTGTATTTGATTGACCGGGAAAACTAATATTACGCATGCGTCTGTTAATTAATTAAGTGTGCTTTGATTAATATGTCAGTTTGAGTTGGATAAGATAAGTCATACTTTCACATAAATGCATGAAAAAATGACGCGTGGTGTTGCAAGTTGGATAAAAAGCCACGAGAAATTATCAGTGATTAACAGTGACTTGTACCAAATCAGTGGCCTGATTAAATTGAATGTTGAATAGACTGTCTAAAGCATAAATAATAAATTTTTCAATGGGTTAGATATGAGGATGTATGAGTAGTAAACGCGTTGGCAAATATTAGCTCGTTGATGTTACTGTAAATGAATAAAGGTACTAACAAATTTTATTACCAAGTCTAATTCCAACTATGTAACAATATTTTAGAAATGAAAATTGCATATTTCAACAGGACGGTGAGCTTTCTCACACACCTAAAACGACCAAAAAGTGGTTTGAAGATCATAATTTGAAAGTTTTATTGTGGCCCACAAGCAGTCCGGACATGAATGTTATAGAAATTTTATGGCATCATGATGATATAAATTTTGAAACCACAAAGAAATTGTATAAATGTAAAAAAGATTGTTAATAATTGTGTTAAAATAATACTGGTAGTATTAGAGTCGACACCTATAAAACTAAATAGAAAAAATTACCTTTCATCAAAGTCCCCTTTGCTACTGGGCTTTTCAGGTCCTACATTGTCGGTTTCGTTCCTCTTTTCCTTTGTCGTAAATGGTCCAACTTTTCGCAACACTGCGACGAAAAAAGCCCCAGTGTTTTGCTGATGAGGAAGTATCCTGATACTAAAGACAAACAGATAACAAAATTCAAACTTTGCTAAAAACTAAAAATACGCCTGTCACTAATTAATACGAGATCCGCCATCCATTATAATATATTAAGAGACGAAAGTCGAAGTTCCGCCACTGCTTGCAGTTACAATCGAGGGTCTTTGACTTTCGTCTCGCGTACCGTATACTATTTTTCTAGATCCTCGGTGGAAACTAGCCGGAAATACAATGGTTTTTGAAAAAAAAACGGCTTTGACAATGTTGTCAAGACAGTCAGTGACAAGCAGACAAGCTGTCAGCGTGCGTGGCGAAAGTTATTACTTTCCACACGGGAGTCAAAACGATACTCGCAAATTTCCAGATATTTTCAACTAAGCGCTTGACACGACATGTTGCGAGCGAAACTTTGGATGAAAAGATGGTCAACACGGACCGTTAGTCCGTGGTACTGTATACCTCGTGTGTAAAATAGACGCTGCAATATTTAAGGGTTTATTTTCCAGATCTGATGAGAAATGAACAAGGTCAAAGGTGGCAAATTGGTTTTTCTTGATTCCCTGCTGGAGAATACTTCCATCACTATTTTCGATGGCGAAAGCATCACTTTTACTCATGACAAATTTTCTTCATCCCGTGTGGAAAATAATAACTTTCGCCACGTACGCTGACAACTTGACTTGTCGAAGCCGTCAACTTCAAGCAGTGTTCGGCTTTCATGTCTTGTATCGTAATATACTATTTTTTAATAATAAAAAACACAACCAAACACATTTTTAACATTTTTTTCCAAATTCGGTTAAACAAGTAAATTAAATTTATAAAGCCCAGCAGCGGCAAGTCGAAACACAACCACGAAAGAGGTCGATTTATTTCAAAAATGATAAACAAATTAAATGTACAAATGTTCAGTATCCAACGATCAATAAACGATTTGTGACCGTTAAAAAATAATTTTAATTGGCGGTCCTCCTCCACCTCCCAAACAGCGCAAAGACATCTTAAAGACGTCTTTAACACATATAATAACACAATATGAATAAACGTGTTAATGATTTAAATCTAAATTGTTTTAATTTCAAAATTTGTAATTGTTAATTTAAAAAAAGTTAAAATGGAATTTTTCTTACATCCATGCAGCAGGGATAATTTGATCTTAAAAACTCAGCTATAAAAAATTAACTGTGACATTATTCTTATTCACTAGTCAATATGCAAGTCAAGTATCCAATTATTCTCAGATAGCAATAAATAGTAGAGATAAAATAGTTACCATCTGTTCAAATTAAATTTGGCTCGAGTCTCGCTATCTGGAGGAAACATTTGCGGTCTAATGGTCGTTCTCCACTTCTCATCGACTTCCTCAAAATTCTTGTAGAACTCCAAATTTCGACTCGAAACCAACCAGTTGTCCATGCCTAAAAAGAAACGATAACTATACAAGTTGTTAGAACCATATATACAATGTCGGCAAATTCAATCAAAATAATTTCTATACAGGATGATTTACGTAGACCGTGCATTAAAAGTTCTCCAACTTGCAGTTGCTTTAGAAACGTAAAATGTTGTTTCCTGCCGAAACGCCTCGTGCTGAAACCATCTAAAATACCTTTAGCCCTCCAGCGGTGTGCCCGAAAGGTATAACGTAACTTTCTTATTTTAAATACAAACCCCCAACTAATTTAGTATTGTTGGACCGACCTTCCAATTGCAATTTTGCGAAACCCTAGTTTTATTATAACTTATCTCTTATGATTTCTTATCTTTGATAAACGTATTTTAATTGCCAAAAACAAAATAATTACATGAGAGATGTTTAAGGAACAAGCGCTATCTAAGGAGTATATCTTCAAGGCAGTTTTTGAATACGCCTTTAAAAATCTTAACTGGTGTAAGACAGGAATAAACATCGACGGAAAAATGCTCAGCAACCTTCGATTCGCCGACGATATTGTCCTCATTGGCGATTACCTACATAAAGCATAAATAATGCTTAATGAAATTGCACAAGTAACCCAAGAAGTGGGATTACAGGTAAACCAAAATAAAACAAATACAATGACAAACTTTGTTCATCGGTGGAACATATAAAATTGGAAAACAATATCATAGAAGAAATTAGACAATTTCGATACTTTGGTCACGAATCAAAAATTACTGGACGTTTTTAGTAAAAACCTCCAACTGGGGAGTATGTTCAGTTGTGTATGGCTAAAACTCTTCATAAACTCTCTCCATAAATATCTCTCCAAAACGAATTCTGTGGCACAAATGGGGCCTGAGAGACTGCCAAAAAAGCAACGTCGTGTTTGAGTCAATTTTGCAACTCAAAAAAAACGCAAATATAAAACTTCTTGAAACCAAGACTTTTTTGAGAAAACTGCCAAATTTCCTTACAGATGGTTCACTTTCTAAAAAGGCCATTTAGTTCTCTCTGTAACGATGTAAAGATGAGCCCTCTGGCTCATTTTCCTTTCGAGAAATGAGTAAAAACGGAACGGAAAACATGAAAATGTTTCATAATATTTGCACCTAAGAGTCTGATATTCAATTTTCGCTTTCTGGGTCAAAACCACTCGAATTTCCTCACTCATGTAGTAATGACTAAATCGAACTTTCAATTCTCTATCCAACCATGCCAAAACGAATTCTGTGGCACAAATGGGGCCTGAGAGACTGCCAAAAAAGCAACGTCGTGTTTGAGTCAATTTTGCAATTCAAAAAAAACCACACAAATCTAAAACTTCTTGAAACCAAGACTTTTTTGAGAAAACTGCCAACATTTCCTTATTGATGGTTCACTTTCTAAAAAGGCCATTTATTGCTCTCTGTAATGATGTAAAGATGAGCCCTCTGGCTTATTTTGCTTTCGAGAAATGTGCAAAAACGGGACGGAAAACATGAAAATTTTTCATAATATTTGTACCTAAGTGTCTGATATTCAAATTTCGCTTTCTACGTCAAAACCACTCGCATTTCCTCACTCATGTGCTGATGACTAAATCGCATTTTCAGTTCTCTATCCAACGATGCCAAAACGAATTCTGTGGCACAAATGGGGCCTGAGAAACTGCCAAAAAAGCAACGTCGTGTTTGAGTCAATTTTGCAATTAAAAAAAAAATCACGTTTGGTACTGGGAATATTCTATGGTAGCAAAATGTCTAATGAATGTTTCAGTCTTTAGGAATCAGAAAGCAAAGATCATTGGAAGCAAAATTTTGCAATACAGATAGAATATACTGTGCGAATGTACAGTATAGTACTTTCAGTACTATAAGAAGACCGCATTGTCGGATACCAACGATACAAATGTCTTGGTCAAATGTATGTACGTTTGCGGAGGAATCGTTTAGAATTATGATTGAAAATTTTCAGTTGAATAACAAATGGCATGTCAGTGCACTGCAAAGAGCATTGGGAAAGATAACGGTTTTAAAACCAAAGTAATAGTCGAATGGTCGGAAAAGCTTGGCAAAAAAATGGTTTGATTCTTGAAAACATAAAACTAATGCAAAAAACGAACTGTCGTGAACGGACGATGCGCGTATTACAAACACATATCGTAAATAAGTATACGTTTGGTACTGTGAATATGCTATGTAGCAAAATGTGCGTTTTAATCTTTAGAGGTGAATACACAGGCTTACGTTTTGCAGTGAAAGATGCATCATCTGTGAGAATGTTCAAAATTGGTACTATAAGAAAGAACCGCATTGTCTCCAAATTGAGCTATCGAAGCAAAATAGGAAGAATTCTGAGCGGCAGTTTTCAACCAATTTAAATTCAGTGTCTTCAATAAATATAATATCTGAAAAACGTATTTAAAAATGTTTTTATACCTTTTAAATACGTACTTCATTGCGACTCGCAAAAAAATTAAAATTTTGAAAAATACAGGGTGATTCAAAATTGACGTCATTCTTCTGGAGGTGTTCTTTGGCGGTGTTTTCGGAGTACATAAAAAATAGTAAGAAAAATTAATTATTAAAAACTGAGAAATTTACCAAAATCTATATTAGAAAAACGGCGACAATGTTTTTCAAGGTAATGTCCTAATTAATATTACGTAAATAGCTGTTGCTTCGTAATTATTTAAAACTTCGGTAACGATGGATAAATAGAGAAAGTGAGGTAGAAATATAATGAAATAGGTTAGGGTGACGCTTAATTGGCGATAATAATGGGTGAACTTAATTATATTTTATTTGATGGATCTTGATCACAGCACTGACGGCAAAGTGACATTGTTATTCTAACCTTAAAGTATTTCATTCCCACTTTTACTTTCTTTCATGGTGTTTACCCATAAATACTACAGTTGTTAATAATTAAGAAGCAACAGGTATTTATGTCATGTCAATGTGGCAGATTACCTAGAAAAACATGGTTGCCATCCGTCTGATCTAGTTTTTTGCAAATATCTGAGTTTTTAATAACAATCATTTTTTAGCTATTTCTTCTGTACTCCTAAAACACCCCCATACAACACCCTGTATGGTTAAATACGTTTGATCCGATACGGAAACTCTCCAATTTGCAGACATTTGCTTAAACAACAAAAAAATAAATATAAAGCAAAAACTAACTTTTAAATTGATATTTGCCAATCGAAAATTTTGGCATTTCTGTAGGAATCGATTCCATATTCGTGTGAAAACCTTTTTTTTAAAGAAATTCCATAACTACCATACGCAAAAGTGTTTCGACTTTTCAAACCGATCAAGTTTAGTATGCGTAATTTGATTATTTATTTTGTCCATGTGAAAACGTTTTTCACTTCTTACAAAATTCCTTGGTTCCTTCTGACTTTTACCCCATGAGAGGGACGCTTTTCAGCCTTTAGAATATTAATTGAAACCCTTTTGGCCTCCCCTTAAGCAATTGCTTTGATGATTTAATTGAAGAGCGAACTTCTCAAACTTTGTAATCTCGCTTCTGAGGAGTGACCAATTTATAGTGAGAAGTATTACCAGGTTTAAACTTCAGCCCAGGAAGAGAACCAGATACATCTACCAATTCCAAGGATCCATTAGCTTTTGCCAGCATTCTGTGAATAACAGCTTCGTTCTCGATGGGATTGATCGAGCAAGTAGAATATACTATTCGCCCTCCCTGTGCAAGTAGTTCAGTGGCTCGTCTCAAAATTCTATACTGGATCCTACAGACAACAATGTATTTAAAAATCGTGATCAATTTAAATTCCTAAATACTACAACAAATTTGGTTTCATACCCATGTAGATTAAGAGCATTCGCGGGAGTCCACTTCATCCAAATATCAGGATTCTTCCTCATTGTGCCGTCTCCAGAACATGGYACGTCACACAAAATTCGATCAAGTTGAACCTAATAAGTGAAAATAAAATATGTACATAACAGTTTACTCATAAAAACTCATATACAGGGTGATTCWAAATTGGCGTCATTCCTTTTAARGGGTAATARGGGCTCACCCAGTGGCGGCGAACGCATCCGCTTGCCATGCCTGAGATCCCGGCCAAGTCGGGAAGATTTTTCACAAAGGTATACTGTGGACACCTCGTGGAAAGCAATAGCAAACTACCATGAGTAACTACCAAGAAAAATCTCTCAACTAGTGCCGTTCGGAACCGTCTATAAACTGTATGTTCCGTATAATTGTGGATGATGCGTTCCACAAGTATGCGCAACAGGTCGCCTACGCCTATGTCAAAGAATGACACAAGAAGAAGAGGGGGCTCACTTGGCGAGTAGGAGAAAAATATTGAAAATATCATAAAAAACTACTGTAACTAATTATTAACTTAAAGCTTGGAAATGCATCCGGACTTGCTCCAGATATAAAAAATGATGTGCGTCACGGGACGCTCGACAGGAGTGACGTACTTCCATCATAAATTAATAGAAACCATAAAATATTGAACTTGTTTAACGCATGATGGCAATAATAATTTTATTTTATAATTTTAATATTCTTGTTAGTCTAATAATTTATAAATGGA